TTAATATATAAAAATTTCATTAAAAAATTAGTTTTTAAATTTATTAAAATTATTTATATTTAATTATTTAGAAAAATAAAACATAAAGTAAATAACTTTTATCATCTTTAAATATAATTAAAAAATAAAAAAAATATTAAAATTGTTAAAATAAATAATTTTTAATTTTTTTATTTGTTTAATTGTATATAAATTATCTTTAAATTAAAAGCATAAAAAATTTTTTAAAAATTCTTAACTCCTATTTTAGGCTTTTTTTATTATTTTAATAATACTATTATAATTTATTAATTAATTTTAAATTATTAATTTACTTTAATAATCTATATAATAACTTAAATAATTTAAATAATTGAAATTATTAGAATTTATCATTACAAAATGAGTACTTTATAGTAGAAAAAAAGAAATTACTAAAAAAATTTTTTTTAGTTAATATTAAATTTAAATATTTTACTAAAAAAAATAATATTTATTTATAAAATAAAAAATTTTTTAATAATTTTTTCCTTTCTACTGTAAAATATTTAAATAATCTATTTAAATAAATATTATTTTAAAATATTTAAATGATTTGATTATTTTCTATCATTATAATATATAAAAAGAATTTAAAACAGATAGAAATTACTTATAAGAGAATAATCTTTACTTATAAATATTTATAAAAAATAAAAATAACTAGTCAAAAATAATATTATTAAAATTGTGAGAATAATCTAATTATTAATAATATAAAATCATGATATTAACAATCAGATTAAATTACATAATCAATAAAAGTTTATCATAATATAATTAAACTTTTATTTATTTTCTTCTCATTTATTTAATTACTTTTTTAAATATAAATAAATAAAATAAATAATTATATTTACTTCTAATATTTTTTTTGTTTTATTAATAAAATAAGAAAGTAAGTAAAAAGTTTTTCATTAAAAATTTAAAAAATAAAAATTTAATATTAACTTAAAACATATAAATCCTCTTGAAAAAGTAGAAATCTCTAATAAAATCTTTAATTTAATTCTACTAAAGATTATATTTTTAGATCTACTAAAAATTAATTTTAAATATTATAAATAAATTTTTAAAAATAAAGAATAAAATAAATTTTGTATTATAATAAAAGTATAACTTACTTTTCTTTATATAATAAATGTCTAAACATACTTTTTTTTTAAATAATATTATAAATATTTAATATAAAAATTTAAGATGCAAATACTTCTAAACTATTTTATCTGAATTATTAATTCAAGACTATAATAAAAATATATTTTGATGCTAAGTAATTTTGATAATTAAAATTAATTACATTAATTGATATTTATTATAAATTATTAATAAAATAATTATGTTTATCAAAATACAATTTAATTAGTAATTCATCAGTTTGCACTAAAATATAAATAAAACAATGATTTTATTAAGTAATATAATTGGCTAAATAATATTATATTTTCTAATTATAATAGTTTTTTATATTGTATACTATTTTTATTTATTTTTATTTCATTGAATTTAATTCTTAAATATTTCATTAAGAAAGATATATAAGAACATTCTAAATAGGTCAAAGATTTAAAAAATTAGAAAAATAACTTAGAAAAGTTACTTTATACTATTATTAGAAATTGATTTAATAAATATATAAAAATAAAGATTTTTGTTAATAAATTACAGTATATATTACTTATACTCTATAATAGTTTAAAATTTGTGAGAAAAAATATATAATATTATATATAATTTTAACAAATTAAATTTTATTATTGCTAAGAATACTAGGTGGATTCTAGGAGTTTTGCAAATTGTTTAAAATAGTAAATGTAAAATTTAGCAAAATTATATTAAAACCTATTAAAAATTTGTGAAACTCTGAAAAAGATAAAATTATATTAAAACTTATAAAAGTATGAAATTATATTAAAACTTGTATAAAAGAATTAATAAAACTAAAGTTTAAATATTTGCTAAATCCAAAATGAATTTAGACAAGCAATCTTAATTGTGGTTATTAAAAGAAATATAAATTTATCATATTTTTATATCAGCATAAGTAAAAAATTTGGATTTTTTTAAAATTACTTACTGATGATTTTAAAATATAAGTATAATTTAATTTACATATTATAATAATATTAAACCAATTATTTTAGAAATTGAATGTTAGATATTTTATAATTGAAGCAAATAATTTTAATTAAGAATAAACTTAGATTTAAAATCAGATTTAGTACAATTTAATTTTAATGAGGATCATTCAAATACTTTTTGTATTTTTATCTAAAATAAGCATAATTTCAATTTCAATTTACTTGATATTTTAGTAAATATCAAACCAATAGTTTTGAAATTTGATTTATTTATATTTTAATATAATCAGATGAATAGGATTGAAAATATTTTTAAAATACAAATTTCGTTTAAAAAATTCCCGGGACCAATAATATAAACTTTGTTTATCTATATTCATATTAATATTTTTCTAAATAAATGTGAGACTAATTAATTTAAAATAATTGTGTGTTGAAAAATCATATGAAATCATTGGATTAAATGATGTTATTATTTACTTTAATCACGTAATCGCGTTCGTGTGATATAATTTAAAAGAAGTGAACAATGCTTTGCATATAGGGCGAATATTATATCATCAGTTTAAAGTTCTTTTACCCCTTAATTTATTTTTAAGGGATTTCGTCATCATAATTTGATCTTTCTGACACATGTACCTATAAAGGAATTTTTGAGGCGCAGTTGGCGGACTCGTTCCTTATTTTTTTGTAAACGATGATTTCAAAAAAAATAACATACATGTGGGGGTCATATTTGTAACCAAAAACACGAGAGATGATTTGATAAGATTTAAACACGTAATGGAGGACACAATAGTTAAATTTATTCCGATTATTTTATAAATTAAGAAAGGATCATCGGGTCGTAAAAAGCAGCCATCATTGTTTCGGCATGGTCCGGATGAAAATGCCTTTTTATATGCATATGCAGGTTATCCCCGATCTTAATAAAATAATTACACAAGATGATTGTACTTTGGATATGGATATAACCGATTGGTTAAAATTTGTTCTCATAAATTCTCCCAATTTCTGGAAAAAAATGTAACGCACGTGATTGTGATTTGGCATTCAACGAGCCAGTTTTCCGGTATGACCGGGATTTTTCTATCATGTTCTTTTTGAGAAACCCAATGATTACGCAAAAAAGTATAAATCTGTGAGAAATATTTTTAGTTCAAAAAAAAAGTTATTTATAACTTTAGGAATTATACGGCGTAAATCCGGTTATCGATAAGCTTTTGAATCAATGAAGTATTTGTTTTTTTAATTTCTGCGTTTTGATTGTTTGATTCGTAAAAGGAAAAAATTTGTGTTGTTTTTTTTGCAGAACTTGTTACCCAGATCAACCCAATTATTTGTAGATGGTAGGTAAAAATAAAACATCTTAAAACTTTGATGAAGTTGATGTAAAAATGATGATGCATGGATCTTCAAAAATCTAAGCCTTCTACGTCAACTTTTGAAAAAAAAAAATTAAATAAATAAAAATAAAAAAGAATCATTAATTATTATTAAATGTCGTCCACTGTATAAAAAATTCTTCACTTAACAAAATTTTTTTTTCTTATTTAAGTGGACTTAAAGTAACGGGTAAATTCACTTTATAATAATCTTCCGTGTGGCTATCCCAAGTTTCACCGAAATGAGGTTAGCCTTTGGTATACCCATTGCTTGTTCCTTTATGTAACTTTATTCGGCTCATCATAAACCGAATGGCGTTCATAATGGCGTTGCATTCTTTTTTCCTTTTTCTTTTTTTTTTTTTTAAGAAAAATTTTTACTTTACACGTGGTTTGACGACTAAATGATCTTCAGGCTTTTTTTTTTTTATAAAAAAAAAAGTGAACAGATATTTTATACTTACTATATAAATAAATAAATAAATAATGAATGTCATATTTATTCAATTATATTAATGTTTATACTTAAAATGACATAATTCGAACAAAAGGATTCTCTAATTTGTCGATCGATACAAATATAGTAGTAAAAAGACCTGCGGACTTAGCAAATATTCAAAGGTAAATCCGATCAATATTTAAAGATTAAAAAAGATTTATTGCATATATAATAATAATAATTATGATGATAAGTTATTTGTTTGTTGCTGCCTTTGGTTAAGCTGCAGGTATATGACGCAATTACATCATACTTGCTTTTGTTGGAAGCTACTCTTACTTATCCCAAATGATCAATGGTCGAACAAGAAAAAATTATATATATAACGACTTCTCATGCTGTGCTGCTATCTTTTTGTAGGAAAGAAAATTTCCTAGTCATACTCGATCTCCGGACAATATAATTTAAATCTTCCCAGAGGTATTTCATAAATTATTATTATATTATTGAAAAAATAAATAAATCAGCCATAGAATCAGCCTCAAGTTAAGCATAAATTCAAGCTAGATTAATGTATCTGGCGTAATTTCATTTCTTTATTACTAACAATTAATTTTAAACATCTCTGTAGATATTTCATTACATTTTGTGGCTGATTGATTTTGTAAGCAAAAATATACATACATAAACAGTATATAATTGAATTTTTTTATTAGTACTTTTTTCTTTTAGATACCGCTAATGAAAACATTAAAAAATATTAGAACTTTTACTTACTATTGTTCATCTCCTACGGCGCAAGTTTGTAAGATATTTTAGTATGTACTGCGTGAATCATAATTTCGCGAATCTGATATAAATATTTTCGTTAATTGCCTCTTCATCGTCTCGTGAAAAAAATTTCCTCGTTACAATAGGTATTTCGCGACAAATATACCTTTTTTTTTTCCTCCTCTCTCTCTCTTTTTACTCTTTCAAAAAGAAGGAAAAAAAAAAAAGTCTTTTGTTAGAAGAATGCCCTCGGAAAATTTTTTTTATAAATTACCGATTGAAGCGCTATACTATATTTTTGAATTCATGAACGAAAAAGATCAATTAAATTTTGCTTTGACATGTAAATGGATTTATGGTGTTTTCAGAATTTATCATGTTGGTTACAATTCACCTCGTTGGGTTCCTATCAATTTTATTTCAAACGGGGTTGACTTTGCTGCTGCTTCATCTTCTCCGTTAGCTGCGGATGACGATCGTTTAGGAGATCCAAGTGTACCCCCCGCGGCAAATTATCGTGATGGTGTATTAGTAGATGGTAAATTATACCTAACAATTCTTGAAGAAGAGTCACCAATTTGTTGGATCTTGGACTTTGACGAAAGAATTCCGTTATGTTGGACACGAGAAAAGGTTACTTTTGCCGAATCCATCTCATTATTTGAAGATTCTAATAGTGAAGTATTGGAAGGTTATGCTGAAGATAATATTAATGTTCATAAACCTGAAAAGGTGTTAAAAGGCAAATATCAACCGTTGCGATCAACGGTCGCTACAGCTATCCCGCCAATTATTTATTTATTTGGTGGAGAATGTTTAGCTACCGGAGAACCCAGTTGTACACTATATGAATTGAACACGAAAAATATGATCCTTAGTGAAGTAATGGGTCAAGGTGGTGATTTACCTCCCGCGCGTAAAATGCATTCTTTGGATGTTATAAACGATCGTTGTTTGGTGTTATTTGGTGGAAGATGTAAAATAAATGGTTGGTTTTATAATATCGTAGTAAATTTATTACTATGTACCTTCTTTATTTTTTTTTTTTTAAACCTTTTTCTTTTTTTTTTCGGAAATTATATATCGTATATATAACACCAGATGTTGATAATCCAAGAGAGTATGATACTAGAGATTTTTATATTTACGATATATCTACAAAGACTTGGACGAGTTATCGGGACTCAAATGTTCATGTTCCTTATCCTAGATCCTTTCACTCTACTACTGTTATAAATTCTTCTTTATACATATACGGAGGACAACAAATAACGTCTACTTCAACACCTCATTCTCAAATCCACGACGATGAAGATTTATGGTGTTTCACATTTAGTCCGCCTGGTAACAATCCCAATAATCCCGTAACAGCAGTCGAAGTTATAGAAGATTCAGCGGACGAAGGACAAAAAACACCTCAAAGCAGTACAAGTAGTCAGTGTAGTAGTAGCAGTCGATCGGGTGCGAGTCGTATTTCATCTTCATTTCAACAAGAAAAATGGCAAAAATTATTTTCTCCAAGAAATTATATTTCAACCACATTCTCGTGTGGAATTAGAGGAGAATGGCATGCCACTACTGGAAAGTGTGTAGGTAGAAGACGCGGTGCGGCAATGTTTAGCGTTGGAAATCGAGTTGCAGTTCTAGGAGGTTATGAAAGAGATAATTGGAAATGGTGCGTTAGTGAAATCACTACAACCGATGGAGAGGACGGTATGGATGGTGAAGGTATTTCCAGAGAAAACGAAGATGAAACAAGTGAAAGTAATGAAGAACAACAAAAATCTATTAAAGCTATAAATAAAGAACAACATAGAAGAGGAGTCAAGGAAGAGATAAAAGAACGAAAACAAGTAAAACAAGAAAAACCTTGGGAATTATGCAAATTATATCTACCTGATAAAAAAAGATGGGATCAGGTTCAAATCGTTGATCTACCTGAAATGGAGTGTGTCGCTATTACCAAGGATCATACTAATAAACCGTTCGATGTTTTCATTATGGGTCGTAGAAGAGGAGATACTGAAGAACAAGGAATGATTATGGGGTGGATTAAAGAACGTTTCAATGTTTAGAAATTATTCGTTTCGCTCGAAAAGATTAATCGTTCACGAAATTTCTCATTAATAAGGTATAATTATCGTAATAATCGTAAAATTCTCAAACCGTTTATGTAAAAAGAAGTTTTCCAAGAAATTATGTTTATTGATTATTAATTACGTTTTTAATAAGTAATGATTCGGTTAATTCGGTTTAATTTTCCCTTTTTTTCTTTGATATGTTAGGTTATCGTTTATGTTATTTTTCTAAAAAAGAATTAAGCAAAATTAGTCTCTCATAATTATTTATTTACATTTAATTCCCTTAATTATTTATGAAATTAATTGTTTCAAACGAAAAAAAATTTTTTTTAACCTTTTTTTTTTTTATGTAACACCCATTGATGACCATAAAAGTAAAGTCCTTGATTAAGTAATAAAGTAACTGAGTAATAAAATTCCAAATATGAAAAAATTTGAAAATCCGATGACAATCTTTATCTTTTTTGTTTTTTTTTTAAAAAAAAAAAAAATATTTTAAAACATTAGTACCGGTCTTTCTTTTTAGATAAATTCATTTAAAGAACATTTAACTTTTATATTGTATTTTAAGTAAAAATACATTATTCTTACCGATAAGCAGTTTAGAATCAAAACAAAAAAATGTATTCATCAATTATTTAAATATATTTGAAATGAATAATGTTTTAATTTGATAATATATATTCATAAATTTCTTTAATTTTTAAAATCTTCTTTATTTCACTTAATAATGAGCATAAAGCTCCGAACGGTTCGGATCATTCCGAAAATTTTCGGTTCGGTTTCGTATTGCATAAAAATCAATCCGAAAATTTCTGTTCAATTGAATGATCGTTTTACATAAGCTAACTTAATTTGCTTGATCATTAAATTAAGCTGAGCCACTTTTTTAGCTTGATTTAACTAATCAACAATTAAGCCAAAAACCTAAATTTTAAGCTAGCTCATTTGGCTTATATGATAAAATGTTTTTGAAATAAGATTTGTCAAGAGAAAACTTTTTAAATGATTTCTTTAAAGAAATATTTTTAAAATAATTTTCATAGAAATGAATATTTTCAGAATAATCTATTGAGAAAAATGTTTACAAAAATTCTCTTAAAAGAAATATTTTAAAATAATTCTATAAAGAAAAATATTTTCAAAATGATCTTTATAAAGAGAAATATTTTGTTTTTAGAAGATTCTCATAAAGAGAATTATTAAATTAACTCTGTAGAATTTTTAAAAAAAATTATATCTTTTAATAGAATTTTTTCTGATGATAATAAAATTACTTCTAAAATTATTTTTAAAGAAAATACTTTTGAAATATTTCTTTTAATAAAATTATTAAAGTAATATATCCAGACTTATGTAGATCATTGTGAATATTAAAATTTGCAATATTAAAACATAGATCATTAACCGTAATTTATTAACAAAGCTAAGTTTCAAAACAAAAATTTTCTCTTATTTAATAGTTTTAATCAAATCAATACTTTGCTACATAGATATTTATATACCTATATTATTATTTTTCTCTCATATTCCTCTTTTAAGCCAGCTTTTTGAATATAATAATACGCAAGACACCTTTGGACACAATCTGTTTCTAGTATGAGTTATAGTATTACTTGTAATAGAAAATGCCTGTTCATATGCAACACTAGTAGCCTGAATAAATAAATAGTCTCATGCTATTATTCCTAATACTGAAAATTCTTGAAAATGAGCTTACTACTATAGCAAAGGTTCAACATTGTCATCATATAGTAAGATAAGATATCAATCAAATTTTTTATAAATTCTAAATGTTTTTTCAGTTATTGAAGTAGTACTAATAATATTATTTGTATTTTTCAATCGTCTTTTCTTTAATTGATAAAAATATTTCTGAGTACTTATTTTTTTATTATTGTTATGATTGATTATAGATGTTATTTGAAGTTGTGGTATATGATATTCAGCAAAATGACTTTTACTATATTAATTGCATTTGTTGATTCTTTTCCTATGGTAAATAAAGTAAGTTTTAAATATAGATCTAATACTATAATTATTATAGTAGATAAATCTACTATTTTCTAATACTGATTGATTTTGAAATATTAATAATGCTAACTCATTCTGACTAAAATCTAATTTTTTAATATAATCATTTAGATGTTATTGAATTCTAAGAAATAAAAATCTAACATCAGAAATAGTAAAATAGGAAAAAACTGAAAGCAAAACTGTTGCTTTTTCTAATAGTTCAAATAAAGTAAGAATATCCTATTATTTTATAAAATATATTAATTTTTTTTTTAAAAATAATAATAATAAAATTATACTAGCTTACTTACATATATTTTTATCTATTCTTGTATATCTGGTATTAAATTTTCAATATTCTGATCTGTTATAGCTAATATTTCAATAGGGCGTAACATTTTTTGAAATTTTATAATCATATAGTAAGTACTATTTCATCTAGTTTTGATATCTAATTGTGGTTTATAATATTGTAAGTTTCTATTAAACATAATTCTCATAATTTATCACATCTTTAAAGTGAATTTTTAATTTTTTTATTAGTTTACAAATTTGATAATTTCATTATCAATGATTTTAATTTCTTATTGTATTGCTAAATTTAAAATATGTGCTGAACATCTATAGTACTGAAAAGATTGATTATCAAGTTCATATGCAAGTTCTTTTGCTATTGTTTTTTCACAAATTAACATTTCTGATTCATTATCAGTAGTTAAAGCCAAAGTTTTTTCAAGAATGTTAAATTCTGCTAAAATAGATTTTATTATGTTTACTATATTAATACCAGTATAATAAATAGTAAAAGAAACAATATCTAATAAAAAGTGTTGCAACTTCTAATTATTATTAATATAGTGAATTGTTAAGCTAAATTATACATCATTATTAAATGTTAAGGTTCACATATCTGCTATTAATAACAGTTTACCTAAAATTGCATTTAAATTATATTGTATATTATCACATTTTTTTTTAAAATGATCTATTACTAAATTTTTAATAGTTGTTTTATTTAGAACTTGATATTGAGAATTAAAAGTATTAATCATTTTTATAAATTGAGAATGTTTAACTGATTGAAAAGGCTGTGCATCACCAATAATCCACTCAGTTACTATAATATCACATTTTTTTTTTTCTTTATTAGGCCAAAGATCAGTTCTTTTGAAGTTCAATTTGCTTTGATTTTTTTCAACATTTTTAATATTATCTATTTTAATTTTATGTATAAATAGTAAGTGTTATTTTAAAATTAAAATATCAGTATCTTTTCTAAAACACTTTAACATTTATAACAAACTAGACATTTTGAATATTGAGATGTTTGATCATTAAAATACTTTTATATTGGTGAAATTTAACGAGATTAAGGAAAGTCTTCATTACTATTATTATAATTATCTTTTTCACTAAATTTATCTGATTTATTTTGATTTTGTTTATCTTGTTCAAAATTGTAACTTGATTCAAAATTATAATCTTATTTAGAGTTATAATCTTGCTCAAAATTATAATTCAAAAAAAATTCAAATTCATTAAAATTATAATTTGAATATTCAGTCATTATTATTTAACAGCTTAAACTTATAAAAAAAAAGTGTATTTAATAAAAGAAATAGTTTAGTAAACTTTGTATTTTTGAACAAAAAAACTTTTTGAAAAAAATAAAAGAAAACTAAATGCATTATTATTAAAAGAATTTCAAAAATAAAAATAAATAATACAACATTTTCTAATTTATTTTCTATTAATCTTCAAATATTGAATTATTCATTATTAAATAATTTTCTTTTGAATATTATAATATTAACATTTATTTTTTTTTAGAACATTTTTAAAACATTTTATATTAAAAAAGGTGATACAACTTACATATAGGTTATACAACATAAGGTTATGTTTACAAATAACTTAATTTAATAAATCTATATTATGACTGACTTGAAATTGTCCTAGTTAAGTCCTAAAAATAGGAACTTGATCCTATTAAGACTAAGTTTCAAGATTCAGTCCTAAAGTCTAGAACTGAACTTTACCCATCCTAGGTAGACTACAACAGCTTATATTTATATATCATTTAATATCAAAAGAAATATTAGCACAAATTACTAAAGGAATCAGTTAAGTTAATTTCTTTTTCATTTTGTTGTTTCTTTTTTTGTTTTCTTGTCATTTTCATTCTTTTGTTTTAAAATATTTTTTTTTTTTTTAAAAAAAAAACAAAAAAGATAAAGTTTTTTCTTTGCTTTTAAAATTTTTTTCTATTTTGTTTTTTTTTTTTCTTTTACTTTTTTTTTTTTTTT